CCCCGGGAGTGCGGGTGGAAAGGGGTTCCTTTCCCCGGCGGCTCCAGGCACCTTGCACGTGGCTCCACATCCCGCAGGCTGGTAATGACAGCCCGGGTTAGCTCCGAAGGCTTGGTTTGCAAAAATTGGACGCTGCGCTTGGAGACAGAAGCAGCAGAGCCCGCATAATCTGATTTTGAGTTTTGCTTGTCTTTTTTGAAACAGATGTCTCTAGTTTTAGGAATTCCATTGGTCCCTGGGAAAAGGGGATGTGGACGTTAATCTTTTCGCTTTGATCTGAAGAAATGCTTCTAATTCTGCCCTGTAAAATGTCAGAATGTGCGAGCCTGATTGAAACTTGGAAGAGATGCCTAAAGTGGAAACTGGAATCTAAATTTCAGAACGAAGGAATTAGGCATGCCTTTGGCACTTTGAAGAGTGTTCTCTGTGAAATTCACTTTCAGACGTTCAGGGAGCTCTTCTGTTTCCCGGAAATTTGTTGTAGGATTCCAAGTAAATATTTTTTGTGTTAAGAGGAATGGGGATGCTGAGTATTTAAAGGCCTTTAGGGAAGAGTTGCTTTGTTTTTTAAAATACTAGCTATAATAGAAATATTTTAGAAATACTAAAAAGCAGGTCTAGACTTTATATATAATTTGAATTTGTCAAGGGTTGTTTTCTTTTTCCTTTTTCTTTTTCTTTCTTATTTTTGAGTCAGAGTCTCATTCTGTTGCCTAGGCTGGAGTGTTGTGGCACTATAACTACACACCACAGCCTCAACCTCATGAGCTCAAACATTCCTTCCACCTCAGTCTCCTGGACAGCCAAGACTACAGGCAGGCTGTTTTGTAGAGACAATGCTTCACTAGGTTGCCCAGGCTGGCCTTGAACTCCTGGCCCCAAGCAACCCCATCTCAACCTCTCAAGGTGCTGGGATTACAGGTGTGAACCACCACGCCTGGCCTGCCAAGAGTTTTTGAAATTGTTATATTAAAACTAATTTTTAGGCTGGGCTTGGTGGCTCAGCCTGTAACTCCAGCACTTTGGGAGGCCGAGGTGAGTGGATTGCCTGAGCCCACGGGTTTGAGACCCACCTGGGCAACTTGGTGAGACCTCATTTCTACAATAAATCAAAAATTAGCCGGGCGTGGTAGTGCGTGCCTGTAATTCCAGCTACTTGGAAGGCTGAGGCGGAAGGATCGCCGGAGCCCAGCAGGTTGAAGCTGCGGTGGCTGGGAGCGGCCACTGCACTCCAGTCTGGGTGACAGAGTGAGACTCCAACTCAAAAAAATAAAATAAAATAAAATAAATAAAACAAATTTTTATTTGTTTTTTGAACAGCTAACGCATTTAAATAGAATGAGAATGCTATTCTCATTAACAGTGAAATGGAAGAAACTATTCCATTAAACTTTTTTGTCTTGGAGTAGGAATCTTGCTCAGTAACCCAGGTTGGAGAGGAATCTTGCTCTGTAACCCAGGTTCTGTAACCCGGAATGCTCATGGCCGCAGCCTCAACCTGCTGGGCTCAGAGGATCCTTCTGCCTTAGCCTTCCAAATAGCTGGAACCAGAGACATGCGCCACCCTGCCCGACAATTTTTTGTTTATTGTAGAGAGGAGGTCTCACCAAGTTACCTAGGCTGGTTTCAAACCCCTGGACTCAGGTAGTCCTCTTGCCTCTGTCTCCCAAACTGCTGGAATTACAGGCTTGAGCCACTGCGCCTGACTTATTAAACTATTTTAACTTGTTGAAGGTGGCACTAGACCTAAAAATCTGCGGGCTGGGATGCAAACCTAATAAACTCGGCACTTTTCTACTTATGACTGAAATTAAGGAAAGCTGTCCTTTTAGCCAAATTGATTTCTTTTTTTTTTGAGTTGGAGTCTCACTCTGTTGCCCAGACTGGAGTGCAGTGACTGCTCCGGCCATCGCAGCCTCGACCTGCTGGGCTCCGAGATCCTTTTGCCTCAGCCTTCTAAGTAGCTGGAACTACAGGCATGTGCTACCACACTCGGCTAATTTTTTTGATTTATTGTAGAGATGAGGTCTCACCAAGTTGCCCAAGTGGGTCTCGAACCCGTGGGCTCAGGCAATCCACTCACCAGCTTCCCAAAGCGTGGGATTACAGGCTGAGCCAGTGAGCCCAGCCCAAATTGATTTCTTGAGCTCTGTAGATTATTTGGGAGAATTCCTTATGTTACCTCATGTGACAAATGCTCTTCTGCTCTTCATTATATTTTTAAAAATAAACTTTAAAAAAATTTAAAAGTTAGTTGTAAATGCATTGTACTATTTACTCATATTATAATTGTCTCTGTTTCAATAGATACCTGTTTGTTGGAAATGTATTCGATTCTTACATACACACCTTGACAAATCAGAAGATGGAAGGCTGATATATACTGGCAATCTAGCACGAGCAGTATTTGGTGGGTAATTGGAAGTGAGAGTATTTACTTTTTTCTTTTAATTGTAAAAAATATCATTAACATATGCTACCTATTATTATAGCATCCTTTAATTACAAGCCATAAGGAAAATTTTAGACTCATTTTTTTTGAGGACTGTTGTTAAGATGCAGAGACCTTTGCATTTTTAGGAGTTTTTTGTTGTTGTTGTTTTGAGTTGGTGTCTCGCTCTGTTGCCCAGGCTGGAGTGAAGTGGTACACTCACAGCCACCACAGCCTCGACCTGCTGGTGATCCTTCCACCTTGGCCTTTCAAGGCATGTGCCAGCAAGCCTGGCTAGTTTTTTGATTTATTGTAGAGACGAGGTCTCGCCAAGTTGCCCAGGCTCAAACCCCTGGCCTCAGGCAATCCTCTGGCCTCAACCTCCCAAAGTGCTGGGATTACAGGCTTGAGCCACTGCCTGGCCAGGAGTTTTTTTAAAAAAATGTTTGAAGGCTGTATTATGGCTTTGTGATCATATGACAGGATGCTCAGGCTTTCTTTCTTTCTTTCTTTCTTTTTTTTTTGAGTCAGAATCTTACTCTGTTGCCCAGGCTGGAGTACAATGGCACACTCACAGCCACCACAGCCTTGACCTACTGGGCTCAGGTGATCCTTCTGCCTCATCCTTTCAAGTAGCTGGAACTATAGGTGTGCACCACCATGCATGGATAATTTTTTGATTTATTGTAGAGATGAGGTCTCGTCAAGTTGCCCAGTCTGGTCTCGAATCCTTGGGCTCAGGCAGTCCTCTCACCTCTGCCTCCCAAAGTGCTGGGATTATAGGCATGAGTCACCGTACCTGGCAATGCTCAGGCTTTCTTTCTTTCTTTCTTTTTTTTTTTTTTTTTTTTTTTTTGAGTTGGAGTCTCATTCCCTCACCCAGGTTGGAGTGCAGTGGCATGCTCCCAGCCATTGCAGCCTCAACTTGCTGGGCTCAGACAGTCCTTCCACCTCAGCCTTCCAAGTAGCTGGAACTATAGGTGTGGAGCCATGCCCAGCTAATTTTTTGATTTATTGTAGAGACGAAGTCTCATCATGTTGCCCAGGCTGGTCTCAAACCCCGTGAGCTTAGGCCATCCTCTCACCTTGGCCTCCCAAAGTGCTGGGATTACAGGCATGAGCCATCGCACCTGGCAATACTCAGGCTTGCTTTCTTTGGTCACCTCTCTTGGGATGCTTAGCAGAATAAAAACAAATAGTATATATGTATAATGTTAAAATATGCAGAGAAAAGTATATTGAAGAATATCTCTTAAGAGTGGTTAACTTTGGAGAGAATAGAGGAACTTTCCATTTTTGCTTTTGTGTTTCTAAAATTGACAGTTAAAGTGAGCATGTCGGCCGGGCTCAGTGGCTCAGCCTGTAATCCCGCACTTTGGGAGGCCGAGGTGAGTGAATTGCCTGAGCCTGCGGGTTCGAGACCTGCCTGGGCAACTTGGCGAGACCTCGTCTCTACAATAAATCAAAAAAATTAGCTGAGTGTGGTAGCGTGCACCTGTAGTTCTAGCTACTCGGAAGGTTGAGGCGGAAGGATCGCCGGAGCCCAGCGGGTTGAGGCTGTGGTGGCCGGAAGCGGCCACTACACTCCAGTCTGGGCAACAGAGTGAGACTCCAACTCAAAAAAAAAAAGTGAGCATGTCATGCTTTTACAATTTAAAAATATATAAGTTATGCATTTGTTCGGGTCACTTTACAATTTGCTACAAATATAGTAGCTTTTTCAGGTGGTAGAGAGTTATTATGGAGAAGAAAAAGACAATATTAGATAGCTACAAATTTAAAGCACTTTCCTTAGATCATAAATTAATATGAGGTCAGAAGAATTTAGTGAGATATGTAATTTGTTCAAGTTCCCAGAGTTTGTATTTCATTTTAGTAATCTTAAAAAAAAGCTGAAACATCTGAAGGATTACTTTATAGCCAAGTATGGCCCCAAGATTTTAGCACCTACATTAGCATTTGTGGTTTTTTGGTCATGGTGTATCAAGTGGTCATCTAAAATTTATTCTGGAAACCTTCATGTTCTCAAGTATGTGACATTAAAGTAGGTTTAAAGTCCAACTTTACAAATATTTAAGTTGATGTCTATCTCAATCACACTGATTTGATCTTTACAAATGATATAAATTTATTAAATTATCACATGTATCCCCAAAATATATATATATATAAATCTATTATGTATCAACATAAAAATTAATTGAAGTATGATTTGAGATATTTAGAACTTGTTAGGAACAAGAAGTAATTATAATCACCATTTAGTTGGTTCTGAAGTGATTGGAATAGTCAATTTTGCATGGTTAGAAGTCTGTTCATGGTGACTCAAGCCTATAATCCCAGCAATTTGGGAGGCTGAGGCAAGAGGATTGCCTGAGCTCAGGGGTTCGAGACCAGCATGGCAACTTGGCAAGACCTTTTCTCTACATAAATCTAGAAATTAGCCAATGTGGTGGCACTTGCCTATGGTTCCAGCTACTTGGAAGGCTGAGATGGAAAGATCACCTGAGCTCGTTAGGTCAAAGACTGTGGTGGCCCTAAGCATGCCACTGCACTCCAGCATGGGCAACAGAGTGAGACTCTCACTCAAAAGAAAAACACAAATGTCCACTCATTAGTAGGCCATTGAGATGAAACTCCAGACTCAATGACCTGGGATATCTGGATTAGTGCCATTGAGATGTAGTGACTCCATGGTATCCTTCTGTCTGAATGCAGACAACAGTTCTTCAACTATAGGGAAGGTTTACTGACTTAGTTCTTGTTTTCACTTGATTCTTTTCTGGAAAGGAGAGAATAGGAGTTAATTTTGGGTGAGTAGGATGTAATATTTGTGGAGGAACAGCTATGTTTGGTATTCAAAGTTCTAGAATTAAATTAATAGGACTTAGGAATTTAACATTTGTGTTCTTTCAATAATATGATTAGTAGAATGTCACTCTATTGGATTAGTAGTTTTTTTCTTTTTCTTTTTTGAGTTGGAGTCTCACTCAGTGGCCCAGACTGGAGTGCAGTGGCATGCTCCCGGCCACCGCAGCCTCGACCTCCTGGGCCCTGAAGATCCTTCCACCTCAGCCTTCCAAGTAACTGGAACTACAGGCGTGCGCTACCATGCCCGGCTAATTTTTTTGATTTATTGTAGAGATGAGGTCTCGCCAACTTGCCCAGGCAGGTCTTGAACCCGTGGGCTCAGGCAATTCACTCACCTCGGCCACCCAAGGCGTGGGATTACAGGCTAAGCCACTGGGCCCGGCTAGTAGTTTTTTTTTTCTTTTTTTTTTTGAGTTGGAGTCTCACTGTGTCACCCAGACTGGAGTGTAGTGGCACGCTCCTGCCCACCACAGCCTTGACCTGCTGGGCTCCAGCGGTCCTTCTGCCTCAGCCTTCCAAGTAGCTGGAACTATAGGCGCACGCTACCACACCCAGCTAATTTTTGATGTGTTGTAGAGACAAGGTCTTGCCAAGTTGTCCAGGTGGGTCTCGAACCTGCAAGCTCAGGCAATCCACTCACCTTGGTCTCCTAAAGTGATGGGATTACAGGCTGAGCCACTGAGCCTGGCCCGAAAGGCTTTATAATTGACACTTAATGTTAACTCAGCAACAAATAATTGCTGATGTCATCATAGAATTCATTATGAATTGTGTCAGGGATGTGACTCAAAGATAATGCAGAATCAGAGTCTGGTAATAATAAGATGAATACAACCAGGTCCAGTGACTCACACCTATAATCTCAGCACTTGGGGAGGCTGAGGTGAGAGGATTTTCTGAGCACAGGGGTTTGAGACCAGCCTGGACAACGTGGTGAGACTTCATCTTTACAATAAAAAAAATTCGCCAGGAGTGGTGGTACACATCTGTGGTTCCTGCTCCTTGTAAGGCTGAGGCAGAAGGATCACCTGATTCCAGAAGGTCGAGGCTGTGGTGGCCATGAGCATGCCACTGCACTCCAGCCTGGGCGTCAGAGTGAGACTCTGACTCAAAAAAAAAAACAACACAAAGATAAATATACCATGACCAGGTACTGTGACTGATAGCTATTTCCAGTGCTTTGGGAGGCCAAGGCAGTAGGATCACTTGAGATCAGGAGTTCAAGACTGTGCTGGGCAGCATAGCGAGACCCAGTCTCTACAAAAAAGTTAAAAATTAGTCAGGTGTGGTGGCTTGCACCTGCAATCCTAGCTGCTAGGGAGGCTGAGGCAGGAGGATCACTTGAGCCTGCAGTGAGCTATGATCGTGCAACTGCACTCAAGTCTCAACAGCAGAGCAAGATTCTGTCTCAAAAAAAATTATTTTAACTTTTAAAAGATGATTGTATCATAATAAATAATTTATAATACTAGAGAATAGATTTGAGTTCAGAAGGCAGATTTGTTATTTTCAGATTACGAGAGAAAGAGGTAAAACAAAAAGGGTCTCATTAGGATGGAATTTCAGCTGGGTCTTTAAAGATGAGTAGAATGTGAATATAAGGAGATGTGAAAAAGGGCATCCCAGACTTGGAAGTTGAGAGAGCAAAGGCTTGAAGATGGAAAAGCCCAGAATATGTTTAGAAAATAGCAGATACTTCACTCCAGGCAAACTATAGTATATATACGATTAGTTTCCTCTGGCTCCCATAATAAATTACCACAAACTTGATGAATTAAAACAATAAAAATTTTCTCAATTCTGGAGGCTATAAGTGTAAAATAAAGATGTCAGCAGGGCCATGCTCTTGAGAGCTCTAGGGAAGTATTCTTTATCTCCTCCAGCGTCTGGTGGCTCCTGGCAGTCCTTGGAATTCCTTTGCTTGTAGCTGCATGGCACCAATCTGCCTCAGTCTTCATATGGCCTTCTCTGTGTCACTCTTTGCCCTTTTCTGTCCTTATAAGGACACCCTCATTGGATTTAGGGCCCACCCTAATCCGAGATGATTCCATTCCTATCTTTAATTAATCTACAAAGACCCTTTTTTTTGAGTTGGAGTCTCACTCTGTCAAGTAACTGGAACCACAGGCGCAAGCCACCATGCCTGGCTAATTTTTTTAATTTATTGTACAGATAAGGTCTCATCATGTTACCCAGGTTGGTCTTGAATTCCTAGGCTCAGGCAATCCTCTCATCTTGGCCTCCCAAAATGCTGGGATTACAGGCATGAGCCAATGTGTCTGGCCAAGACCCTGTTTTCAAATAAGGTTACGTTCTGAGGTTCTGGGTTAACATGAATTTTGGGGAGACACTGAATGAACCCACTACAATGTGACAAAAATAAGGGAGAGAAAGAGGTGTTTTGGAAGGCAGCTCAACACTATACCACCAACGTGGTACTTTTGGGAAGGCGAGGACACTTACATAGGAAGCAATGTGGTCCTCATTGTGTCCATGCATACCAGTGTCACAGGAACTACCTGTGGAGGGGGGAAGGAAATATTTTTAAATTTCTGACACCATATAAGCCTTCAACCAACAGTGTGTGAAGTGTCTGTTACAGCTTTGTCAATAGTATGTTGTCACACTTGTGTTTTTTGTCAATTTTGGGGGAAATAGTATCTTGTAGTTTTAGGGGATTTTTTTTTTGAGTCAGAGTCTCACTCTGTCGCCTAGGCTGGAGTGCAGTGCCACGCTCACAGCCACCGTAGCCTCGACCTGCTGGGTTCAGGTTATCCTTCTGCTTCAGCCTTCCAAGTGGCTAGAACTACAAGTGTGCACCACCACACCTGGCTAATTTTTTGATTTATTGTAGGGACGAAGTTTTGTCCTGTTTCCCAGGCTGATCTCGAACCCCTGGGCCGAGGCAGTCCTCTTGACACAGCCTCTCAAAATGCTGGGATTAAAGGTGTCAGTCACCGTGCCCAGCTCCTGTAGTTTTAATTGCATGTTTCTTATGAATGAGGTTTAGCATCATTTTATCTGTTTGAGGACCATGAACATTTTTGCCCTTGGTCTTCTCACTTTCTAGAAAACTTTGATATACTGGGGATATTAATCCTTTGTGATATAAATTTAAAATTTATAATATATGAATTAAAAATATTTTTCCATTTTCTCATTTGTCTCTCTCCTTTGTTTATAGTGTTTATGTACATGTACTCTTTAAAATGTTGTCATATCATTCCTTCTCCCTGATTGCCTCTATTTTGAGTCATAGAAAAGTTCTCCCTTAGCCAGGCATAGTGGCGCATGCCTGTAATTCCAGTTACTTGGAAGGCTGAGGCAGAACGATCACCTGAGTCCAGCAGGTCAAGGCTGTGGTGGCCCTGAGCGTGCCACTGCACTCCAGCCTGGGTGACAGAGTGAGACTCCAAAAGAAAAAAAAGAAAAGTTCTTCTGATCCCAGACTGCAAAAGACTACATGGATGTTTTCTTATATCTATATGATTTTACTTTTTACATTTAAATCTCTGGCTATTTGGAATTTTCCTCATATGTGGTATGAGGATGATTGAAATTTGTCTTTTTCCACATAGTTATCCATTTATCTCAACACTTATTAAAAATCCCATTTTTGGTACTGATTTTAAATTACATTTTTATGCTGTACCCAATTTCCATATGCAGTTGTATTTCTGGAGTTTCCATTTTGCTCCATTGATCTGTTTATTTGTGCATTGCTACCACACTATTTTAATTACAGTCTTTCTATTATGTTTTAATATTTGAGAGAGCTAACTCTCCCTAATTACCCTCTTTTTTCCTTCTTGTGTTTTTCCAAATGTACTTTATGATCAAACTTGTTTAAGATTTCAACTAGTCTATTTTCCAAACAGATGGTATTTTATTAGGATCACATCAAAATTATAAATTAAAACAAAAAGAAATTTATGTTTGAAGTCTTTTTATACTAAGATATACATAGCAAAATTTATCATTGTAACCATTTTAAGTATATGATTTAGAAGTCATTTTATTTTTAATCTTTCTAATGTGATAGGTAAAAATGATATTTCAGTGTTTTAACTTGAATGTCTTATCTTTCTAAAAAAGTTGAATACCTTTCCTGTACGTTTCTTAACCACTGGTTTTATTTCTTTGGTGATTTGCTGTTTTAATTCTGAATACTTAGCCTAATAGAATTCCCCATATTTGAACATTTTATGTTAGATACACGGATATATTGTTAATAGAGAGTTTTATTTGATAATCTACAGTCTGAATCAATTTTTGTAGTACAGTATTAGTAAGGATCTTTATGTAACATTAAATCTTTTATTGTGGAACTGAGATAGAGGCCATTTAAACCCTTAAAGCAGGTTTCCTACCTGGAGAGGAATGGTAAATGACATGAATGATAGAACCAAATTGCCTGGGTTTGAATCCCAACCCTGCCACTTGGTAGCTATATGATGTTGAGTAAATTCTTCACTTTTTCCACTTCTTAAGTGAGAGTGCTGATGATAATTTTACATCTATCTCACAGAGTTTTTCTGTAGATATCATGAATAAAATATATAAAGTGCTTAAAACCAGGCCTGGCATGTAATAAACACTATATTTATGTTTTGATATTGGTGTTGTTTTGATGTTGTTATAATAAGTAGAAGATTTAGTAAGAGATCGATTCTTTTAATTTTAAAAGTATTGATCTTCTCTCATTTTTTTTCCATTTAGGTGTGAAATGTTTCTCTTATTCTACAAGTGTGATCAGCCTTGCATTACTGCCATACATTTTTGCACAAAACAATATTATGTTTGGAAGTCTGCCTTTGCAAATCTTATTTTATGGCATCATAGGAAGCTTTACAGTGATCACCCCAGCGCTGCTTCACTTTATTACAAAAGGCTATGTCATTCGATTGTACCATGAGGCCACAACAGACACTTATAAAGCCATTACTTACAATATTGTGCTTTCAGAAACGAGTACAGTGTTTCACCAGAATGATGTGAAGATTCCAGACAGCACACATATGTTTACCACTTTTTATGCTAAAACAAAATCACTGTTAGTTAATCCCATGCTCTTTCCAAACCCTGAAGACTATGACCATCTAATGGGTTATGACAAACCGTTCACATTTGATATGGAAGAAGCCAGTGAAGAGAAACAGCTTAAGGATGAGAAATGAGCCTGTTGTTTCTGTGTCCGTGCTTAAATGTGATTTATGTTTCAACGTATAGTAATAAAATTGCTTTTACTTTTGTATTCTGTTAGTGACTATTAGAGATAATTTGATGTTCTCAACCAGAGTTTTAGTTAATTTTCAGAGAATGATGTTCCTTTATAATAAAATAAGCAATGTTTGAAAGACAAAACATAGTATCTACCACGTGTGTCTAAGAAAAGGTGTGTGGATATACATGTTCATATTGGTATATGTACGGATAATTTAAGAGCTTGTGGAGGCCAAAGTACTTTCCTCTCAGATACTAACCTACCATGTTGGCTTCTGACTATTCCCAGTTCTAGGAAGGCCTCTAAAATTTCCAGTTCATCTATTGCCTTGTGTTATGCCATGAATTTACCACAATCCTACCTTTGATGGCCTTGATATTATTGTGCTTCAGTTCTACACATACATCCCTTCTGATCACCCTTTCCCTGTGGTCATAAGCCCTGGGTCTGGCGGGTAATGGCTCAGGGATCCACCACCTTGTCTCCTCTCTTCTTCATGAGACATAGATATGGCGTCTGTTTGTAAGTCCTTATTAAGTTTCTTTCTTGGAAACTGAATATGTCAGCCCTTTTCCCTGGCCCTTCAGCTTCCTCGGACTTCAGGGGTGGGTTTGCATAGACCTGCCCACTAAGTAACAGACCTACATCTAAGCCTTTTTGCCTCTAAACTGGAATCTGATGTCAGAAGCAAATGACAGCTACCTTTTCCTTTGTTGTTGTTGTTTTTTTGAGTCGGAGTCTCACTCTGTCGCCCAGACTGGAGTGCAGTGGCCGCTCTCGGCCACCGCAGCCTCGACCTGCTGGGCTCCGGCAATCCTTCCACCTCAGCCTTCTAAGTGGCTGGAACTACAGACGTGTGCTACCATGCCCGGCTGATTTTTGATTTATTGTAGAGATGAGGTCTCGTCAAGTTGCCCAGGCGGGTCTCAAACCCACGGGCTCAGGCAATCCACACACCTCAGCTTCCCAAGGTGCGGGATTACAGGCTGAGCCACTGAGCTCGACTCTTTGGGGTTTTTTTAAGTGTATGAATATTTTACATTGAAAAAACATTTTGAGAAATTTACAAGTTGTGGGAAGCAACGTTAATCTGTCTTCTTTGGTTCAGAACAGATTTTTGTCTTTCCTCTGGCATGATAATGGCCCATAAGAATAATGTCCATGTATGGTCAAGTTTGTGGTTAGTTATAAGGAATGATCACCTAAGTCATGTCTTCAGTGGTCCTGTTTGTACGTCAAAGTGCACTCTCCTCCCTTGGTGGCCCTCTATCAGAGTAGGAAAATCATTGGTGCTAAATGGGTGAACAGTATTTTCTATAAGATAGTCTCTGTGCTATCTTTATTAAGAATATTCATTGTAAGAGTTTTACCTCTGTTGTAAAGTGGAAGTTGATTCTTGCAAAGGATTTTCAGCCAGGAGCAAGGGATCTCCAACCGTGCTATTTAGATCAGTAGATGTTTATTAAGTGCCTAGAGTGTGTCCAATACTATGCTAGTTACCAGAGTCATGGTTAAGAACAAAACACCCTGTCCTTTTAAAAAATTTTATTATAGAGATGTGGGGTACAAGTAAGGATTAACTGCTCCAGTAGTCTGCATGCAGGTGAAGTTTGGGTCTCTAACTGGCTCTCACTTCCCCTAGTTTTAGACCAGGTATCCTTTGTGGTGTTCCATGCACCCCCCTCCTTCCCCCCATCTTCCTCCCCTCCCTGGCGGTGCCCAGCAACTCTTTATCCCCCTCTTGTGCTAATGTGATTAATGTTCAGGTCCCACTTAAGAGTGAGAATATGAGGTATTGGGTTCTTTTGTTTCTGCGATAGATCAGGTCTGCCTGTAGGGAGCTGCCTAACACGGCCTGTGCCCAGCCATGATAGTAAATTTAATCTTTATGGCTTGTGTGTATGAGGAAGTTTGATGGGGAAGCAACAGAGGCATCACTAGTTCAAAGGGAAGGATTAAGTTCAAGCCTTCTAGAAGTTTATTGGTAGAAAACAGTTTACATTCAGCTGGGCTCGGTGGCTCAGCCTGTAATCCCGCGCCTTTGGGAGGCTGAGGTGAGTGGATTGCCTGAGCCCGCGGGTTCGAGACCCGCCTGGGCAACTTGGCGAGACCTCATCCCCACAATAAATCAAAAAATTGGCTGGGCGTGGTAGTGCGTGCCTGTAGTTCCAGCTACTCAGAAGGCTAAGGTGGAAGGATCGCTGGAGCCCAGCAGGTCGTGGCTGCGGTGGCCGGGAGCGGCCATTGCACTCCGGTCTGGGTGACAGAGACTCCAACTCAAAAAAAAAAAAGAAAACAGCTTACGACAGAAAAGTCATCTTTCTGAGACACTCCACTAGGATCTTCAGCTCATTGAACTCAGCATTTCCACCTCGATCCCTCTGTGCCATCTTGTCCTCAGATTGGGCCTCTGCCTGCTGGCTCTTCTGTCCTTTGTCCCCTAGGCATATACCTGTTGTTATCCTAGCAAGAATGAGATATTTTTCTATAAAAAGTTATGCCATGATCATATGTTCATTTTGGATGTGTTAGAAAGTAGAAGCAAGAAAAAAAAAATCACTCCTAGTTCCACCTAGAACAAACAGCATTGTTAACGTTTCAAAAGTGCTGGGTGCATGGCTCACGCCTGTAATCCCAGTACTTTGGGAGGCAGAGGTGAGAGAATGACCTGAGCCCACTGGTTCGAGACCAACCTGGGCAACTTGACAAGACTTCATCTCTACAATAAATGAAAAAACTAGCTGGATGTGGTGGCACACACCTGTAATTCCAGCTACTTGGAAGGCTGAAGCTGAAGGATCGCCTGAACCCAGCAGGTGGAGGTTGTGGTGGCCAGGAGTGTGCCACTGCACTCCAGCCTGGGTGACAGAGTAAGACTCCAACTCAAAAAAAAAAAAAAAAAAATTTAAAAAGTTTTTTCCAAGATTCCTTCTATTTATAACTTGTTTTGAGTGCAACATACCTCTTTCTCTAAATGTTCTATAGCCATGTGATTATTTTGTCACCTATGCAGTATAGTGAAAAACTTGTATTTATTAGTTGATCTCAGAATAATTATTCAGAAGACAAGTTGGTCATTTGGGGGGAGGGGAAGCTTACTTAGTGGAAAAGATGACTCCTCAAGGGCATGGTCTAGGGTGAGACCAGGACAGAGAAAGGATCAGCATGCATTGGATGACATGATGCTTCACTATCAGAATAAATCAGCAGAAAACTCAGACCAAGGTTAAGGAGGAGAAATATAGTTTTTCTCTCATGGCATTTCACTACCTTAACACTGGCAGAGTAATCTCAGAAAGATGGAAGGTAATGAGTCCCTGCTGTCTAGGGAAGAGATGGTGAGTCACTTATTTGCATCTAAAAAGGCAAGGTGATCCTAGCTGACATCTGGGTTACATCAGATAAGAAACCCCTTGACAGTAAAATACAGCATTGCAATCCTTCTCCTCTGATGAATAAATATATCTACAAAACAAAATTTCCCTAACCAATTTTAATTGTACAGTTCAGTAGTGTTAACTATATTCACATTGTCATGCAACAGATCTCTAGGATTTTTCCATCTTGTCAACCTGAAACTTTATGCCAATTGAACAACTCCCCATTTCTTCCTCCTCCCTTGGATTTTTGTCTTAAAAACGTGAAGTTAGGCCTGGTGTCCAAACTACACAGAAGGCTGAGATGAGAGAATTGCTTGAGCTCAGGAATTGCAGGCTGTAGTGTGCACTATGATCATTCTTGTGAATAGCCAGTGCACTCCAGCCCGGGCAACATAGTGAGACTCATCTCTATAAAAAGGGGAAGTAGCACAGTTCTATTGTGAAAACTATTACCAACATATGATATTTTCCCCTTAAGTGTGCAGATTTTTTTTTTTTTTTTTTTG